AACAACAACAACAACTAAACTAAACAGTTTTTGAAACCAGAAAATGTACGTGAGAAAAGTGTTCTAATGAATCTACTTCGTAATGCAAAAGTGTAGAGAGAAAAACTAAAAAGGATTACAGTAAAAACCTTATGAAAGTTGAATTCAATGCTGTGCATTCGCAAATCTTTCACTAATGTTCTTCCAGTTGGCAATTTTCCAAATAGCTTTAACGTAGTCCGGACGTACGTTTTTGTACTGTAGATAGTATGCATGCTCCCAGACGTCGATTCCGAAAAGTGGAATCAGTCCAGTTGTTGGCTCGAGTGGATCTTGGTTAGCGCAGGTTTGAATCTAATGAAAAAGCCATTGAATGTCACATAGAAGCAGGCAATATATCATTTAAGCTAACAACCTGAGCCCATTAACTTTTGCTTACCTTAAGCCTCTTGGCAACGGGACAGTAGCCGAGCCATCCCCAACCGGAACCTTGAACCGCAATCGTAGCTGCGGACATCTTCTCTTGCATTTTTTCCAACGACCCGAAATCTCTCTGGAAATTGACACCTTCAATACTGATGTCACCTGAAAATTTCCATCGGAACTATGAAGTCGATCGTACTTTTATGGCGTCCATGAGTTCTTTGCTCGGCTCGCCTCCGTCTTTCGCCAGATTCGTCCAAAAAATGGAGTGATTTATGTGACCTCCACCATTGAATTTTAGCGCTGGTTGCAGAGCTATGGCTTCCTTTATGTTACCTGAATTACAACAGACCATAAGATACAACCCAACAAATGGCCGACGAAAGAAATAAACATTTTACTGAAAAAAAAAGAACTGCTGGAACCTGGGATACCATTCGGAAAAGTTGATCAATAAGGTCAATAATTCGGCAACAAGTAACCAAATAATTACTATTAAACAACAGGGGCGCCCTACATTTGCACGAAAAACGAGTTGCTCATCCGTGACACCCACAAGCCCAACATCCAACAGGGATAGTGACCTTCGCTGAAATATACAACACAAGCGAGTGCCTCACTTCCGAGCGTTCCATGGCTTCTTGAGGATTCCCTTCACTGCTGGATTACCGTCCGTACAGTCAATTATATCAAACACAAGAATACGCATAAACCTCAAATTTTAGAGGTAAAAAAACGAAGATTCCACCTTTTGATAGAGCTTCGTGAATTTTTTCTTCGCAGGTGTTCAGATTATTTACATATGTGGCATGATGCTTCTGGTGATGGATCTGCATGATTTCATTGCAGATAACGGGCTCCAGAGCATTGTAGTCATACGGGAGATCAGGAAGAGTGTGCTTCGCTCTCGACCTTAATAACGTGAAAAATGAATTCAACTAGATAATAAGCCCAAAAAGCGATTCGATAACACTTACGAGGAAAGCAGAGCGGTGCGGGAGAGGGACCGGAGCGACAAAGATAGCATTACCTGGAAACGAGCTTTTGTAGTGCTATACATAGTTTTTTTTCAATCTCTCCTTAAAGCACAATCCCGCGAATTGAGAAAAGATAATGATGATCGTAACTAAGGCCGCATCCTTAGTGAAGGCCAGAGAGGCTTTCCTGTTGATTTTTCAAAGGAAATTTGGACCGAACAGGGGTTCGAAATAAATGTGGTGAGGGGAGGGGAGGAAGGTGCTTCCCAGGTGTTGCGGTCTAACCCTGCCGTCACCAGGAGCTGTGCGAATCATCATCTACCGAATCGTCAAGTTCGAAATAATTGTGGTGGGAGGGGGGAGGTGCTTTCCAAGTGTTGCGGTCTAACCCTGCCGTTACCAAGAGCTGTGCGAATCGTTATCTACCGAATCGTAAATAGGACCTCAGATATAAAAACTGTGCTTCTCAAGTGTTGCGGTCTAACCCTGCCGTCACCAGGAGCTGTGCGAATCATCATCTACCGAATCGCCAACAGGACCTCAGATATAAAAACTGCAGAAAAAGTATCCTGTCCCCCCACCCCCCAGTTAACAGAATCTACATAGCTGCTGAAACGATCACAGTAAAAGTCATGGTAGACGTTAGGTTCTTCGTCATGATGCCAGCACAGTAAAAGTCATGGTAGACGTTAGGTTTTTCGTCATGATGCCAGCGACTGTTCCGTCGGGCGACAAAGCATGGCATCAATTTCTCGCATCTAGTAAAGCTCTTGCGAGCTTTGTAGACACTTTATCCAGCCTCCATCGCTTCGGAAGCACTAACGCTCCTTCAGGTTCTTACTTCGTGCCTCTCTGCATGCATCAGCAGGCTAGAGGCTGCCTTTACCGGAACGCGCGACTCTGCGCCAATGCGTAAGCTTATTTCTCACAATCAGAACGGAGGTCTTGACGAAAGAAAATCTTCAGATCTCTCTCCTTTAACTCCTCCATTCTTCCCTCTTAGGCATCGCCGCTGCCCAGTAGACATGGAACGTCAGTTCGTCCAAAGCTTCTGCTAATAAGTCCGACTATGAGACCGGCACTACGTTTCGAGTGAAACAAAAGGTAACCGTCTTAGTTTAACAGCCAGACAAAGTCGCCTGCCGTTTTTCACCCATGGCTTTTCTCCATCAGTTCGTCAACGTTGCTTTCCCTGAGCCTTATGGAATCGGACATTGTCCATCACAAAGACGACGTTTCGATGCCCTGCTACTCAAAAACGAAAAAAATCTCATCGAAAAAACTGGTGAGAGCGCATTCCTTGTTGAAAGCACCTGTTCTCGGTGTACAGCTCATCACTCGTTGACTGTTCATAGCACAGCGCATGGAGTACTCCTCATCCGCAGCCAAAACACTATTTGTACGGCTGGCAACAGGTTGCACATTTGAAGAAACAAAATTGAATGCATCCCTTCACAAAGCTGTAATTTACGAAATGGAATGGGAAATCTACAAAATCGGTTGGAATAAGTAAAAAATGGGAAAGTTATGAAAATAGCTACAGTGTAAACGAAAGTGACAGCAACTTTTATGAACTGTTGTAAACTGGGGCAGAAAACCGTGTATCTTCAATCCACTGACATCAGCGTTCCGGCGCAGCACGGATTTACGGATGCCTTTCCGCATTTGCTTTCTTCGGGAAAGTCACTGCCCTTTCCAGGCGATAAATACGCCGACTGTATGCCCATCTAACTCCGAAGCGTAAGTCAAGAAGTCAAGATAGCACGAAAAAGAAGAAATAGGCGCTGAGTCTATCGACTTTTCGATGGATCTTGCGATGATTAGAGATCACCCATTGATATGGCCTCGTATGCTCTCACTTATTAGTCAACCATTCGGATTGCCATTCCCATCTTCCAGTTCTTTCTACTACCAAATTGAAGATGAAAGGTAATTGAATTCAAAATACAGAATGCACGCGTCAAGTAAGCAAGTCCGATTGGGATTTGAGAAGATCACTGGTTTCAAAATGTGGCCTCGCAGACGAAAAGGTAATTGTAGCTTGTCATTGAACGCCCATTAACAGATTGAGCCTTGACAGACGGGAATCGACCCATAAACAAGTGAGCGGCGAAAGCGTTGTAATATCGCTCCAACCTTTTTCTAGGTCTCTTTCCATGCCGAACCAACTGGTAAACAGAGTAGCTACTATTTTGAGGAAGGATCTTATTTATTTCCAAGTACGATGGTGAAACATTGAGTGAGCAAATTACCTTTCAATCACATTCCTCATAAGCGAATCATTCTACAGATTCTCCTCTCGTTACACACGTCCAGTAAAGTGAGCACGCAGCGGCACGACGACACGACATGATGCATTTATTTCTTCTATTCGCAATTAGGCTTGCTCTTCAGACAAGTTTATTGCGCTNGCGAATCATTGTACAGATTCTCCTCTCGTTACACACGTCTAGTAAAGTGAGCACGCAGCGGCACGACCCTTGTGATGCATTTATTTCTTCTATTCGCAATTAGGCTTGCTCTTCAGACAAGTTTATTGCGCTTTTACTCCTGATATTTCTTTTTCTCAATGTGAATGCAGTTGCAATCAAGACAACTACGCCAAACTATCGCAGGATCTGGGTCTACTACTTCACGTGAATCTTCGATTCCTAAAACATATCGGGTTCACCACAAAAGCGGACTGAAACCAGTCATCAATAGGGAATGGATTTCCTATATGTTCCCTTACAGAACTATTCAGAAAGTGATTCGCGCATTAATTCCATCAATTCTAAGTTCGCAGTTTGTAACGAAAGATCCTCGGTTACGATCACCATACTATCAACTGGAACAGTTTGGAAATGAATGCTGCCAAAAGCGGTCTAAATTGCAGGATCTGCTGAATGCTGAACTGAATGCTAGTCCCGTAGCCTGTACACATATCTACCTTACTACCTTGCTGCTAGACTGCGGACAGTAATTAAGGCCGTGTACTGATGGGAATTACCAAGATGAAGCATACATCTATTTCATGATCTCCGCTGTTTTGAGGACGCACACACAGACAGACAAACTTGCAAAATAGAAGACTGTATATACACATATAAAAAGACAGGAAAATTCCTGTGGTAAGTTACTACCTCTGTTAAGGAAGATTTCAGTACAGATAGCAAGTAGTCGTGATCATGCTGGGGTCATGACGCTGCATGCTCTCGACAAGAGGTGTAAACCTGTGTAATAACAATTCGCTTAACTCCATCGGTACTATTCTTTGCAGCGACTAGTTACAGCAGTCTGCTTTCAGTTACAAATGGACATCGAATTAGCTACTTTAGTGAGGGGCTATGAATGATTCACTGTTTGAGAAAACTCATTGATGGAACCAGTCAGGCAAGGAATAACAGAGACTGTCAATCCAACACAACTTATAGAGCCTTAAGTTGCACTAAAATATTTGCGCGCGGGAAAATAATTCAAATCGCGGAACCTTCCAATTGGTAAACACAATCCAAAAAAATGCCGTGAACGAGCGCACTCTGTCGTCTGAGTTCTAGCCAGTCAATGGAGCGAAACGAGCAATTCATCGATTTTCGCTTTTCCTCGATATGAGGGGCTGGAATAGTGTTCTGAAAGAAAAAAAAGGAAAAAAGGCAGAATGAAGCTCGTAGCCACCCTTTGGGTGCTCATTGTTCTTCAATGGTGTCGTAAGATATTCTGGCAACCATACGTAAGATCGTAATGCCACTACATCTACCCTTCCAGCTTCGGGTGAAACAAGGAGGGCGGGTGGCGGTCGGAATGCTATCCTTCTCCCATTCCCTTATTAATATCTGGGGCGTAGAGGAGAGACTAAAAGTAGAGGAAATTGATAAAACAGTAACATCTCAAGCAAAAAAAATCTTAGAACGAATCAAGTCAATGCCCTTTATTACTGCATTTGCAACCTATTCGACCCTCCATAAACGTGATTAAAATGTAAGAACTATCAAAGGTAGGTTCGTGTCGCATTGGGGTACGTAGTTTCTGTTGCTTCTTGAAGTTCTTGAAGCTCTTCCCAATGAAAACGATAGGGCGAAGAGATTACCTACAACCCACTAGAGATGGGCGATTGTGGAAGGAGGAACTAGTGAAGTACCTCGGTCAAAATTCCCTCCAAAGTAAACAGAATGTTTATTGGGTAGTATTACAGAACAAACAACGGAGCGAAACCACTTGCTTTGCATGATAAAAAAACCCTGCCAGATATCTTAAATGTTTGGGAAATACGAGTGCATTATATGTTTGCTATGAAAAAATAGGGAAAATGTGGTAAACTCAAATGGACCTCATTTCTTCTATTTTGACTAGTCAAAAAACTTGAGCGGAACTTCTAAAACTAATACTTTGC